TCATCTGTCCATCATCGTATAAAGCCCGCCCTGACAATTTGATTGGATCGCCTGACAGTGGGCTTTAATACTCGCGCTACTATGGAGCAGAGCCAGACCGAACTTCCACGAACTCAAACCTTGTGGGCGGGACTAAGTTCGGAATGGCACCCAGGCTAGTTCAGCATGGGGGTGAGTAGAAAATGAAGGCTAATCATGTTTTGGGTGTACTATTCCTTTAAGGCTAATTAAGTCTGCAAGTCTATCTATTGTACAATGCTTCACAGAAAAAGGGTACAATAAACATCCCTAACTGCAGTAAAGCTTTACGTTTCCTCCTTGGATTCAGCGCGTCGAACAGATCCCTGCTCTCCTCTTCGTGACTAATTTTTGGATGATAGTCACCTACAGTCACTTTAAACCTGATGCATGATTTCTTGGAAGCTAAAAGAGAACTTAACTCACCAGCTGGTAAGGGTTATACATATATTTTTTTTAGAAAGGAAATGAATTGCTTTAAGTTTATAGCTCTTCTGGAAATTGTCAAGTGCAGTCAGGTGGAACAGCCATCTCTATCAAATGCCCTTTAGACCAGCTAAATGATCCCTCAGGCACCACTTCCCCTAAAAACATCCAAACCTTTGTCATAAGGGAGCTTTTCTTATGTTTGGCTCTGGATGGCTGCCTTGTTAGATCTAAAGTAGGTACGCACTTGGCTGCACCATCAAAATAAAGTAGCCATGCCTGAGCGTGAGCAATTCATAGAAAAAGAAGAATTTTGTGCCAGGAGCTTGGAGAACTCAAACTTTGGTGGAAAAAGGATTGGGTTGTAAGTAGGTTATGCTCATTACTGCAGCACAATTCAAACTGAGGCCATAATTTCATAATTCTTCCTCTCTGAGTAGCTTTAAAATATCACCATTAACTGCTACACACTTTGATCTAAATTAATGGATATTGTGTGACCCATACAGTATTCATATATATGGGTATTCTTTAATTTAATCTATTCTATTGTAGCTTTAACTGTACATTTAGGGTCGTTGCCCTGCAACTTCTAACAGGTTTTCTTGAAATGTGAATCAGCATTTAGCTCATTTTATCTCCTTATCAGTTCTGACCAGTTTGCTACTTGCTAGAATGTTTTGTTTGGAATAGAAATGACAGATAAGCTGCAGGACCTAGCCTTTTATGTTTTACTCATGATGGGGAAATTTTACATTCACAAAAACAAATACATGAGGACCAAGCCAAACTTCAACGTTTTTCTTAAAGAACTTTGTTTGTATTTTCA